ACCAAAACACTTTGGGCTGAGTAATTCATAAACAGAAATTACTTACTGTTCACAGTCTGGAGGCTGGGAAGTCCTGGGTCAAGGCATTGTTTGACTCAATGCCTTGTGCAGCCCATTCCTCATAACCAGCACCTCCTACAAATGGTGGTAGAAGGGACAAAAAAAAAGCCTAATAAATCCTCTTAGGCTTCCTAAGGGCAGAAGCCTCATGATAACCTCATACGTAGCTCCCAAAAGCTGTCACCTCTTAGGACCAACACCGTGGGCACTAGATTTCAACATATGAATTTTGTAGGGCCAGAAATGTTCAGATCAGAGTTATTGTGGAGGCTAAGAGTTAAAATGACCTCTAACTTTCTGGCATGACACTGGGTAGTGGTTCTATTCCTCTGTTATTAGAGCGGAATATATAAAAAAATTCAGAACATTTTAGATTTTAACCAAGATGACATAGTTCATACACCCAATATAACACTGTTACCTCCATAGGGCCTGGGGTGGCATTATGTAATCACACTATTCTGGAATATTTCTGCAGTGTGAGACATGCCATCAATGATAGCATCCTGACAGTTCATTCATGTTTTCCTAACAAATAAGTCATGTGTTTTTGGATTTCAGAAGCTGATTTTGGAATTATGGATAAGATATGGTAAATGCACTAATATCTATAGACATAATAGAGAAAGTAGAGGTTTGTGAGGCAATGAAGGTCCTGGTTTATACACATATTAATCTTCAGTTATTATGACAACTGAAAGATGCTCAGTAGGCAGTCAAACAGATAAGCAAATTAGTGTGGACAGCTTGAAATTGAAACAAGAACAGGAAAAAGATATGCTCGGGGAAATGCTCTAATGCCAGACACACAAGTCCAATTCAGAGAATGACTCAAGGAAGTTTCATCTAATTGTCAATAGTCATTAATGAGCTGGAACTTAGTCCTACTTCTCTTTGCTTCACCACATATTAGTGCATTTTTTTTTAGGGGGGGGTCTGGTCGTGGAGCCTGAACTCTGGGCGTGGGCGCTGTCCTTCAGGTTTTCAGCTCAAGGCTAGAGCTGTACCACTTGAGCTACAGCGCCACTTCCGGCTTTTTTCTTTTTGCTTATGTGGTGCTGAGGAATAGAACCCAGGGCCTCGTGCATGCAAGGCAAGCACTCTACCACTGAGCCACCTTCCCAGCCCTATTAGTGCACTTTTGTCTCTTGCATTGCTACAGCTGATCTGAATTCAATGTTGCCATTGGCAGTACATTAATTATGTTAAAATTACTCAAATTATATAACACTAATTATTATGAAACCAACCAGATGCACAATTGGACAGGTAATTGAGAATAGCAGTTTTCCTTTTGTTCAGCTTTTAGACAGAGTCATAAAAGATAAGAAATTTTGTGCTCTACATATCAGAGGACTAAATTTATCTGAAGATGATTCAGGTATTAATCAGTTGGGAATATTAAATATGTAATATTTTCTTTAGGAGAAAAATTCCTTCCACTGCAAATGTCAAAGCAGGTTGAAACTTACAACTTTTATGGAAAGCTTAATTATCCAATCAGGGCTTCCAAGATTAAATTTCTACAAGTTATTCAGGGATCTAATATCATTTCTTAATCTAAGGGTTTTTTTTTTTTAGGGGGATGATCCCTATAATTCATATCTTTTACATATTTCACAGTAAAGATTAAAATATAACATTTAATAGACTATAAACAAAATAATGAAGTTATGTATTCTCTAATAATTGTTTCAGTCTTCACTCAGAATGATAAGTCAGCCATAAAACAGAGAATAAAAATAGGTGTGGGTGTGATAATTATTTCTCTCTTTCAAACCTTCATTACCATAAAAAATCCTCTCACAAAACATTTCTAGACTTTCCTGTCCCATTATGCACTAGAGCATGCTGAGAGCCCATTTAAAATACAATAATGTACAATGAGATTTCATGTGGTTCCTAATGTTTAGAGGTTTAATCTAGTACCAAGTTCTTAGAGCCTCAAACCTTCCAACAAATGCTTAATTGGGATTCCAATATAATTTTGTGAAAAACTATTTTTTGTGTGTGTATATAAGCACATATGGAAGAGGCAATGAGCTAATTATAGAAAAATGGGTACCATTTCTACATTCTAGAATCTAGCTTATGAGTTGTCATCAAGTCAAGCTAATTCATTGAGATCAATTTTTTTTAAAATAAACCATCATTTATTAATGTTAAATATTATTTTGTGAAACTTGTTTCATATGTATACACATACACTTTAGTCCAAAGTGTTGAGGCATAGAATGCATTTTTTTTTTTTTTTTTGGACTGAGGATTTCAGGGTAAAAATTCTTTTGAAAAACCTAGTTTTTAAAACATTTTTTGAAACCCAAAATCTAGACTATTACAAATGGACGGGAGACATTGGGGCAATGCCTCATAAAATATATTTTAAGCCAATATAATAAAAGATGAGAAAACTAAATAATGCTGCCCAAATTGGCTCAAAAAATAACTGTGGCTCTGAAATACCCATAAAGGATTTAAAATCTTAAGGCATGTGGCATGTTCTTAAATATCCATGTGATCCACCATCCCAGGAAGAATATGATGGCCTAGTTGCGTCTCTACAGAGCCAGGCATCCCTTGGACAAGTAGGAATTAGGGTAAATCAGAGCTGGACAGAGAACAACGGACCATTCTATAATTACAAAGGCCTTACAAGCTACATGAAAGGATAAAGATAAGCATCTTGATAAGTGTGAATGTGGGTGGTGAAATATAATGATACAGGAGTCCTGAAACAAGACACTAGAATAATGATGCTATCTTTCACACTAACTTGTAGGGTGCACTGAAGGCAGAGAACCCCTCTCAGCTTCCTTGTGTTATAACCTGGGATAAACTGGCTGGGCATACACAGCAGGAGGGAGCAGAAAATGCTGGGGTTAGGAAACAATCTAATTTTTTAAGTCCTCATTATCATAATGCAGGGAATCATGTTTCTCCTATTTTATAGATAGAAATTGAAGCCCATTGCTAATTAGTCAATTAGAACATCTTACAACTCTCCCTGAAAGTAAGGGTAAAGATAATCTGACAACACGTGTCCAATAACAAATGAAGATTAATATTCAAAATTATGGGAACGACACTGACTGTAATTTTAAGACAGTATTTAATGATGAATTGGGCTGGTAAGGCTAGGTAAGACTCTTTTGAGAAAAGCAGAAAAGTCCTGGCTGAATTTAATTATGTCCTGTTACATTGTGGCTGTTTTGAATATTTTAAATTTTAGTTACACTTTCTTAAAAGCATATAATTGCTTAAGCCATTGAAGCCATTTTAAGTTAAATGTACAATTTAAAATATGTTTTAGAAATTAGGAAAGAGAACTCAACACAGGGAGTGGAATTAGTATTTATTATTAGAATGTTGATGTAAAAGGTTGCTTAAAATAATATCAATAGGAAGAGTCTTGGTACAAATAAACTGCTGAGAATGTTTAATATGCGTGGTAGACTTCTGTTATTAATAGCAAAAGTTAAATTTAAAGAAAATTGTAGGGTGAGGACTGAATCTCATATATGTTAGCCACAAACTGGAAGAAAAATTACATAATAAAAGCGCAGATGTCATACTCCCTCCCTCACAGCCAGAAGTTTTCAAATTCAACCGTAGCAGTTGTGTGACTTTCAACAATCGAATCTGATTTTAAATGCTCTCATGGCGGAGTGTAACTCCAGTAGCAATGTATGTTAATTTAACATGTTAAGTTACATTAACATGTCTTTAAAAAATCAGAAGGAAAAAAAAAAAAAGAGAACAACGGGTAACTTTGATGGGGTTCCCAAACCAGAAAATAGTTCTTTGATGATTTTGAAAAAAAAAAGGAACTAGAAGTGTAAGGCCAGCGCCAATCCTCTAGCCTCAATGCTCATGCTTTAGAAAAGTCTAATTAGGCAGGAGAGGAATTTGGGCCTGGCACGCCCAGGTTCAGACGTGGCAGGATCCTGAAAAAAAAAAAAAAGTATTTTTTTTTCTTTCTTTTGAACCTTTGAGTCATCTGCCACAGGCAAACCATAGGCGCGGTGGACTGGTCCTTAAGTCAACAGGTCCAAGGAGGCGCCGTGCGGTTGGTGCGTGGCAGCCGGACTTCCTCCAGCCAGGAAGAGCCCAAGTCTTCCCAATCGAACTGGAAAGCGGGCGCTGCTGTGGCTTGGGGCGGGGGAGGGCGTGCACCCGGGAAAAAAAAGCGTCCAGAGTCAAAAGAGAGAGAGAGAAAGTGGGGTGTCCGCCTCCCGACCACAGAGCCCCTCTCCAAACCAGTCGGAAACCATTTCAATGGCTCCGGACGCCGCGGTTTCCAGCCTAGGACTGTCTGGGGGTCCGGCTGGGAAAGTTGCCTGGCAGAGCTTTTGGTCGCGGCTTTGGGCCCCGTCGGGCACCGGGCAGGGAGGAGACGAGCCACCTGCAAAGCCCAAGCGCCAAGGCGGCCGCCGCCCCCCCCCCCCCCGACCCCGGCCGCCCCGTCCCGCCCCGACCCCGGCCGCCCCGTCCCGCCCCGACCCCGGCCGCCCCGTCCCGCCCCGACCCCGGCCGCCCCGTCCCGCCCCGACCCCGGCCGCCCCGTCCGGCTGCCCCTCACCGACACCACTACCCTCCGCCAGCGCCCCGAGACGTGCCCGGGCCGCCAGCGCTGGTGCCCCAGTCCGGATCTTCTGTCTGGAGCCACTCCGCAGAGCCAATGAGGAGACCCCCCCCCCCGGAGAGAGGGGAGACCTGTGTGCCCACCTCCTGCCCCCCACACCCGGCCCCGGGCGCCCCTTTCGCCCTCCACCGACGAGGGCAACTGAAACCCCCTCTCTCGAGACCTTCTCCAACCGGTCGCCGGACCGCAGCGCGGTGCCCACCACGTGAAGCCCGGCGGCCGTCCCGCCGCCCCCTCGGACGGGGCTCCGGGTTCCCCTCCCCGAGTCCCCGGCCTCGGCGCTGGCCCGTCGACTTACCCGGCAGGTGGGCAGGGCAGGGCGGCCGGACGCTTGGACGTGGGCCGGGCGCCAGGTGCAGGTGGCGGCGGGCGACTCCGGTTGCTGTCGCTACAGTTGCGGGCTCAGTCGAGCTCCTCCTCCGCCACCGCCTCCTGCCTTCCCGCTGGGCCTCCTGCGTTGCCAGGAGAGGCCGAACTGAGGCTCCGCTTCCTCTGGGAGTCTCCCAGGTGAGCTGCTGCCGGCGACGTCGGCAGGGGCGAGGCCCCCGTCCCGCGCCTGCGCGCCAGCCTCCGGCCCCGCCCAAGTCCTACCTGAGCGCTCCAGGTGAGCCGCGGAGACCCCGCGCGCGCGCGCGCGCGCACACACACACACGCACACACACACGGGGCCGGCCGAGCGCCGTCCCGGCCGAGCGCTGCGGCCGCGCGGCCCTGCGCTCCGCGGTGCGCGGCGCTGCCGGGTCCCGCCCGACTCCTGCCTACCAGCCCGAGTGCGCGTGAGGAAGCCCGCCCTGACCTGGCGGCGGTGATCACCCACCTAGTACCCGGAACACAGTCTGGGTCCTTGGGGAAACCGACCTTGATTTCCCCCCCCCCCCCCCAGCACTAATTTCCTTTCTCTTGGGTTTGTCAGAATGAAAGAGTGCCCTGTCCCCAGGATCGCTTCGTGGGGACAGCAACTGTCGGCTTGTGTGGTTTCCTCGGCAGGGTTCTGCAGCTTCTGTCGCTAGTTAGGCGGGTGGCTTCCTCCCCTGGTAGTCTTGATTTCATCACTTGACTCACTCGGGCAAGGCTAGTGGTTTCCGTTTCTGTAAGAGCCAGCTCTGGCAGGGGCGCCTCACGTCCAAAGGAGGAGCTTCTCCCTTCCAAAGTAGGGCTGGTGCTTGACGGTGCACCCCCAAATTGGGGAGCGCCTCCTCTTTCCTGGATTACTATCCCAAAGCTGCCACCCCAGGGAGAACCCCCGCTGTCCTTGTTTGGAAAGAGGCTGCGGTTTCCTGGAGAGGGCTTGTTTGTACTGTCGATTTGTTTAAAAGCTGAGCCTCTATTCTGGAAAGGTGAGAACACGAGACTCTTAAGAAGATGATGGGTTTCGCCACTGTATTTAAGATAATTTTAAACATCGTTCCCTCTGTGATATTTACAGTTTCCTGTTTCAGCCTTCCTTCTACAGCTGTGACACTGGCCCACCCCAAATCCGGACTCAAAATTGTCTTTATACATTTCTATGAACTCGGTGATTTGGGTTTTTTTAAATCTCAAAGGTGCATAGGGATGCAAATGAAAAATCAGTTAAAAAGACTTTGGGGGGGGGGGGTAGCATGTTTAATGACACAGTGACAGGTTTTGTCTGCAAAGATTATCTGTGGCTTTTTGCCTACATTTTGACGGTGAGGGTGCTTGTTTACTGATTTACCAGTTTTATGTGTCACCTAAAAGAAAGGCATAAATACTCATTAGCGAAAGAACAACAGGTATCTCAGTAGTACATTTCTTGTAGAGTCTACAACCTTGGTTTTAGCATCCACAGCGCTATTTTACGTGTCAACATATACAATTAGTTTTGAAACCTTACTTAGGTAATTCTCTTTTACATGTTATGCTTCTTTCTAGTGTATCAGGAACCTTTGTGACATTTTAATATTAGCACCTAAAAGCAATTTTTAAGCTCATTCTTCCTGCCCTGCCCTACTCTCCAAAAACGGTCCAGAAAGCAGCCATATCTGTGTGTCTGTATGAATACACACATTTGTAAACATTACACATGTTTACATTACACATTCATTCTCATTAGTATTGTTTAACTTTACAACCAGGACTGAGAACTTTTTCTTTTTCTTTTTTTTTTTTAGTTTGCAACTTTTTTTCTTTTACTGTTTGCCTTTAGTGGAATTTATTACTGAACTTTAAGGAATTTGGGAGAAATCCTAACTCTACAATGAAGTCTGCATCCTTTAGCTGTGTGCCACCCATTCCTGAATGAGGCAGGAGCCAAAGATTGTCAGAATCTTGAAGTTGCTCATAGGTGAAGGGCAACAATTTTTACTGACAGCTAGGACAAAGCAGATAGAAATTGAGCACCAATCTGGACTCCAGGAACTGAGATGCAGTGACAGCAGTGACATCAAGTAACAACAGAGAAGGAAAGCTGGAGCAGACCTACAAAAAGGCTGAGAGTGAGCAAGTAGGACCAAAGTGCTGCATGGGGAGGGAACAGAACAAAAACATGAAGATAGCCAGCCAGGAGTTACTAACAAATTGGCTGTCAACATTGCAATGGGCTCAGATAATTTAACTAAGGAGCACAGTATTTCTGAATCTGGTGTTACATGTACTGTTTCACCCATGACTTGTACTGTTATTTCATACCATTCTGAAAGAAAAATTAAAAATAACGAGTTCTTTGACTTCACAATAGGATTAAAATGCTGCAGGCCCAACAAATCTTTTTTTTGTTGTTGTTATTCTGAAACATTTAATGCCCTAAAGCTAATACAGATGCACTGTATTCACAACTATAAAATATACAATTTGCTTTTTAGAAGTAAAATTAGCATTTCATCACAAAATAAAATTTAGGGGTTTGCCGGGCGCCACTGGCTCACACCTGTAATCCTAGATAATCAGGAGGCTGAGATATGAGGATTGCAGTTCAAAGCCAGCTGGGGCAGGAAAGTCCGTGAGACTCTTACCTCCAATAAAAACCCACTAGAAAACCAGAAGTGGCACTGTGGCTCAAGCAGTAGAGCGCTCACCTTGAGCTGAAGAGCACAGGGACAGCACACAAGCCCAGAGTTCAAGCCCCACGACTGACAAAAAATAAATAAATAAATAAATAAGGGTCTTAGTGTATTTATGGTTCTTGAAATAAGCCCATCTTAATGCTAAGTGGTTGGCATATAATGGCAGTGAAGTTAAAAAAATTGGGCAGATTTTATGGCAGGAAGGAAGGGTCTCTCCCACCCCTCATACTTGTGTATTCAAACACACACAATTAGCTACACAATGCTCATTTGTATTGATCTGAAACAATAATAATTGTGTAGCCACCTCTGTTATCCCCAGCATTTAGTAGGTATTCAATATCATCCCTACCAACTATCATGAAAAAATGAACAAACATAGTCTTGAGTAAATTAGAAGTGACACATTGCATGGAGAAATAATCTATAGCAAGTATAAGTAATGGATTGAGAATTTCAGGGATATGATTTTATAGCTACCAAAATTGACCTATCTATTTCACAGGTTACTGTGCAAAGCAAAGTAACTTACACTGCTGCAACTTTCTTCACTTTGGACTTAAATCCCACCCCCACCCCCTACACACATATGAAAGAATAAGCAAAATTGTGCAGATTGAGTAAATCTGACTTAAGGTATTTTTTTTGTCTGTTAATTATTTAATTGCTGCTTAAGCAGGGCTTAGCAACTTTTGTTGAAAACATATGCCCAGATTTAGACTTTTATAAACAATTTTGCTTCATGAGATCCTAGCTAGGATGTCTCAAACAGAGATTTTGGCTCAAAGGCCAAACAGATTGAAACAATTTTCACCAAAAGAAATTTTTAAAAATTGAAAGGTGAATGATTCAAAAGACGAATAGTGCTACCGGGTGCTGGTGGCTCAGGCCTGTAATCCTAGTTACTCAGTAAGCTGAGATCTGAGGATCATGGTTCAACGCCAGACTGGGAAAAAAGTCTGTGAGAATCTTCTCTAGTAAACTACCAGAAAACTGGAAGTGGTGCTGTGGCGCAAGCAGTAGAGCGCTAGCCTTGAGCTGAAGAGCTGAGGGACAGTGTCCAGGCCCAGAGTTTTAAGCCTTACAACTGATAAAGGAGGAGGAGGAGGAGGAGGAGGACTAGGAGGAGGGGGGGAAGAATAGTGTGATGCCTTACTGAAGTACCACATATATGCATGCTTTTATTTTTATTTCTATTTTTTTTATTTTTTTGGGTCCAGTTGTGGGGCCTGAACTCTGGACCTGGGCGCTGTCCCTCAGCTCTTCAGCTCAAGGCTAGCACTCTACCACTTGAGCCACAGCGCCACTTCCGGCTTTTTTCTTTTTGCTTGTGTGGTGCTGAGGAATCGAACCCAGAGCCTCATGCATGCAAGGCAAGCGCTCTACCACTGAGCCACCTTCCCAGCCCCTATATGCATGCTTTTAAAGATAATAATATAGCAAAATCCTGGTTTGTGTTTGTTAAAACAGTATGAACATAAGTAGATTACTGAAATTTGAGGGCACTGTTTTATGTATAGTTTTCTTTTTGTCATTACCTGAAGAGCCACCCCAGATTTTCAAAGTGACTGACATTCCTATGAGGATGTTTATTGACTTAAATTGACACAGAATTGCATCTTGTTAATTTTGTATCCTTGATGCTTGGTACATAGTAGGTGCTCAATAAATATTTGATGAAATGTATTGAATAGAGTGCAGAGTTTCAAGCTTTTAAGCATTAACATAAAAGCAAAAAGAAATGCCATGCTGAGTCAGACTAATATTTTATCTATTGAGCTCTAAATTCTTACAGTGGCACTGAAGGATATTTTTGGGAAAATATGGTAATGGTCTTACATGATGGAGACCTCTGAGACCTGTTCCAGGTACTCTTGACTCATACTTGTTCCTAGATTAATCGCCTTTTCTATAAAAATTAATTATTGCAAAACAATTCATAATCATTACAGAAAACATTTTGGAAAAAAAGACAAGCCAGCTTTGGAATACTCAAAAGTTACTCATATCGATATGGATCAATACTACTAGACTCTTCTAAACAATTAGTTCCCTCCCTTTCTCCCCCACTGTGAGAGAGAGAGAGAGAGAGAGAGAGAGAGAGAGAGAGAGAGAGAGAGAGAGAGTGTGTGTGTGTGTGTGTGTGTGTGTGTGTGTGTGTTTCTTGGGATAAAATTCAGGGCTGCTTACCTATAACTCCCATCCCCATACTTTGTGTTGGTGTATGATTTAACCAGGTCCTTTCACCTACCAGGCAGTCATTCTAACCATTGAGCCATACTGCCAGTCCTTCTGACTCTTCCTATTAAATATACTGCCTTGAAAAATTGGGGAAGTAAAATAGTAAATACAAAAAGAAACAGAAGCAGGTTTGTAAAAAGAAGATATCATTAAGGGCACATGTGTTGTAGCAAATTTTCTACTCAATATTTCTTTCCATGACAATAAATCCTTTCACAACATTAGTTTAACTGGCTGTAGTTGCATTTAACCTCATCGTTATTGTTGGACAGTGCAGATCACTTCCAAAGT